CGTGTTAGAACGAGCCGTTTTAGGTAGGCGTGGTTGACTCTTAACTTTTATAAAGAATATCTCTTTGGATTTGAGACTTTAGTCTTTGCAACTTTATAGACCTTCTTTATGCACCAAGAGCTTGTAACACTCCAAAGAGAAAGGAAAAATTGAAGTCGCATCATATGACCCCTTTAAAGTTCTAGATTTTTCCCAATTATAGGCCTATAACATTGTTGGGGGACTTGGAAGGATTAGTCTGCTGTCTGTGAGTCTGCCCCTTAACTAACAGTGGCAGTAGTGAGAAATATAGGGGTTATTGACTCATTTTCCTGTCTGAAAAAGCTCTCTTGTTTTTCCCCCTTTGAGAGGTTCTCCCGAATCCCGACTGCACTCCGCATCTGGTTTAACTTTGAGAGATGTTTATATTCTGATCCAGGGCTCTTTTATTACATTGGAACTGGAATTAATTGTTTGCTCTAGCAGGCCATAACAATTCCATAAAAATGTTTGTAATGCATTGTTTCGACGTCTCCCTTTTCTCTCTGTTTAAAAAATAGCTGTTTCTGTTTGTCTAGAATGTTCCTCAGTAATCCTGAAAGCAATTTATGAGCCTGATTTAATTTTCTTGTTATGACAGAAGGAGGTCATCAGGTGTTCAGTGTCTGAAAATATGTTTGCCTTCTGTCCAAATAAGAAACAAAGTTCTGTTTGTTTGGGTGTTCAAGTAAATCCACACTGTATACCACATAGAAGTAAAGCGATCTTCTTGTTATGTCTAACTTAGAATGTTTGCCACATCCTGGAATGAATTCATAGCTGATGTGACATTTTTATTCAAAATTCCATCTCTAGAGAATCACCACTTGTGCGTCACTTGTGTTGTCATACTCATTATGAGTGGCGCCCCTAATTTGTTCATGGTGTGTGTCGTTACAGGCCGGTTTACCAATTCAAAACGTGCAGGAAGTGCAACCCAGACAGTATCAAAGCATTAGTAATTACGTGTAGTGTGACACACGCAGAGCAGTAAAGTTAAATGCTGTATGTTGTCAGGATCTGCTATTAAATACATTAAGCATTGCAGCCTCCATTTGCTGGATGAATACAGAAAGGGAACCTGATGAAAGACAGCTAAAAGCAGCTTTTGACTGCTTACACCATGTCTTAACAGACAGATGAGATAAGACTTTAGCGGAAAGCAATTTGTCTGTCCACACCAGACGCGACAAGACCACAAGACGAGACAAAATCAATAAAAACTACATATGTAAACAAATTATTAAAAAAATAAACCATTTTAGCATTATTCAAAATACCTACCCAATACGATCTTTATCATGGATATCACTTATTTGTGCTCACAGAGTTAAGTTTCACAATGTTCATTTCTTGTAGGCTAGTTATTTTCAAGACCCGAGGTAAATTAAGTGTCGCTTGGATTAAAGTCATGCAAGAATGACATTCGAACTCATTTTAGTATTGTACAAAACACATAGGCCTACGTACCTGAGATGAAAATTGTCAGCCGCTTAGTTGCAGAAATAAAAACTATTCCGAAAACATAATCATCTGTCACTCGTCATGGACAACAAATCACCCTTAGGCTGGCCGCACACTAGACGATTTTAAGGCTGATTTTAAGCCCGATTTGCAACCCCCGAACAATTGGTTCGCGGCTTGTCGCAACCGATTTTTTGTCCAAAAAATCCTTTATTGTGTGGTGTCATTACGATTATTTAACTGCACCCGATCGAGACGGAGCGTCCCCGAACTCAAATCGTAAATATCAAACATGTTTTGATATTTACGACTCGATCGGGTTGCCTCTGACGACCCGCGATAGCCAATGAGAGCGAGCAAGCATCAGTCACCAGGGGCAAGTTCAAGCTCAAACCGGTGTGCAACGCTTTGCTACGGTTTCCGGTTTGAACGACATGTTTCCTGGAAAAGGTGTGTAACGGGGTTTAAGATACGTTTTCTCTTGTTTGGTGGGTGTGTCAAAAATGTCAGCCCAATCAGCAGCAACATGTATATAAACCACGTGGTATTAAAGAGACAGCTGGCATAATGTAATTAACAACCAAATAAATTCACAAGAGCAAGTATATTGTTTGCACATGTTTATTTATATTAAAGGCAAAATAACTGAAATAATAAAGGCACAAGTATAGATCTGGAACTTCTTTAAGTCTGTCTAAATATCATTTAGTAATTACAATGTCTTCTGGTCCATATCCTTTCCTTAGGAAGGTGTGCTAGACACTGATTAATGTAACATAAAAATACTATACATATGTATATATTTTGCTATTGTATCATGGAGTGACACTTTCATAAACTTTTCTAAACTCCTCTGATTATATAATGGTAAATATTACAATATCATAGCACAACAACAGTGATCAGCAATAATGATAAGCCGAATACTCACAATAAAAATAATAAGGTCATATAGATCATAACACAGTCTCGGAGGTAAGAAGTGGATTATCCTTCACCTGAAATGTTTGTCTTTTCATCCTGAAATGCGAGGCAAATGTTGGATCACAATAATTAGGAACCACAGTTTCCACAAATCCCTTCATTTGATTGGGATGTTCTCCTTTATTCTGGACGGC